AAAAAAAAAAAAAAAAAAAAAAAAAAACTCTCTGGTCTTCAATATATATATTGTCACACTGTAAATCAGAGCGCGAAAGCGAAAAAAAACAAAACAAGGAAAGGAAAAGAAGGAAGGAAGGAAAGCCCCACCTGTTCATCACCTCTTACATACAAGGCCAGCCACATGGATGACAGGTTGAGCGCTGGCTGCCCCCATCCCCGTGTGTCACAAGGACCCACTTGCGCGCAGCCAAAAGGCAAAGAGGTAAAGAAAAGGAGGAGGAAACCAAACCTGACAGGGAAAGAAGTATAATCCAATTGTCATAAAGCAAATAACACATCCCACAGATCAACATTTTTTATTTATTTATTTATTTATTTTTCTTATTTTCTCTTTTTTTCTTTTTTTTCTCTTTTTCTTTTAAACTCTTCTTTTTTTCTTTACCTGTCCCCACCTCCGCAGATAGGACAGCTACGGTGAGGATGATGTGGATGTTCACAAGGATGCCCAAGGAGAGCTGCGCCAGCACAACATTCAGCAGGACGACTAGCACGAACCATCCCATCAAAATAGTCCTGACAGAGGACATGTTGTCCACATGTCAAAAAAACAGCAGGACGTTCATCACAGTGCGGCATCATACAATTATGATAGCGTCCTTGGGCACAAAAGGGACAACGTATATCTGGGTGATAGGAATGTGTACAATGAGGAAATGTTGGACACCCTTCAGAACAGACGGCGGCAGTCGCAATAGATTGATAATGGCAATGGCATAGATGATGCATTCCACAGCCAAGGCGCACCGCGTCTCTGTCGCGACAGGTGTCACAAGAGAGTCGATCAATAATGTAGAATAAAGTATGATTCGACAATGCTCGCAAAAATTCATTCACGTCGAAAATGACCTGACTCATCCTCCCACCATCCCACAGTTCCCACTGGGCAGCTGCATGAATGAGTGCCATATAATGCCCGGGTCTGTGTAAAATACAGGCAGAAATATGAGGATGGTTATTGAGGTCATTGCCTGGCGTCGCATGATGCATAAGAAGGTGGCGACCGTGAAACGCTAATTGTAAGACATTTACAGTAAAGCCTCTTGAGGTAGTATAGTTACTACCTTCTGCAGGTGGACTATTATGGTCAAACAACAACTAATTTTCAACAGCGTCAAGCTGATAAGCAATCGTAAGAAATTGGGATGCACTATAACATTGACGTTGATAAGCCTGTAGGCAGACATTTGTGGCTGTCAAACCACAAATATTTGGTATGTCTACCCGCAGATCCGAGGGACCGAGTCGGTCACCACTGGAAAGGCAGATCTGATCTGGCGGGGTCGGCGCGTAAACTACGAACGTCGTCGACGTGGCAGAGCAGGCTGTCGGTAAGACAAAGAACCCCACAGATTAGCATCAGCACGACGTCGAGAGGAAGGGGGACTGGGAGGAGGAGAGAATGAACGAGCCCGCCGACGTCCCAATATGGACAATGAAGTTAAAGGAGGGGCCGGTCTCAGCCCGCGTAGGGAAGAGGATGGCAAACTAGAGGAGGAGAAAGTCAAAGAAGAAGAGGACGAAGAAAAGAATGTTGAAGAAGAGGAGGAAGTATTAGAAGTAGAAGAAGAAGAAGAAGAAGAAGAAGAAGAAGAAGAAGAAGAAGAAGAAGAAAACGGTGTTTTTGTTATAAGTGAAATTGTTTTCATGTTCACTTTTTTTTTTTAACTGTAAAATGGAAGAACGAAATGAGTAAATCATAGACGAAATAACGACAAAGCAAAATAACGACAAAGCAAAATAACAACAAATCGAAATAACGACAAAGCAAAATAAGGACGGAACAATGTTCATAGCAATGCAAAGTTGAAGGAACGACAAAACAATGAGGAAAAATGAATGTGATAGTCATGCTCCCGTGCTGTCTGTGCTCAAAATATAATACAATGTCAAGTTTTTACCTCGAATGTTTACACTTAGTAAACATGTCAATCTCATCAACAAAATATTAACTACGGACTGTAGCTTTAGTCGCACCTCATTGACTTTCGTATCTAACCATGGACAAAATGTCTAATGCTATTCTGAGCCTCATATCAGAAATGTTGGCTTGTGAGAAAGCAAACGGAGGGAAGTGACCTCTTGCAAGCAAAGATGCAAAACCTAACATAAAAACACCACAACTACAAGGATCCTCTTGAGCAGAAATCTCATCCACTGATGTATCAAAGGAGGATGTAGGCCCGTTCACATAATATCTTTCGCGAAGATTGTGCCGATGAAACTCCGCTTGGAAAAAATCTTCCAAACGTTCAAGGACTGAAACATAGTCAGCACGAGGGAGAGAGTCTATGAGGTGGAATTTACAGTTAGGACCGTCTATGCTGACATAAGCTAACGCCCAGTGATTTCCAAAATGAAGAGGGATAATCACTAAGTCATAATAAAAAAGATTTGTGTCCTTCACCCATGTCATCCCTTCGAAATATGCGGTTTCAAACCTCGAAGGACCTCACAATCGAGTGAAGAAAAAAGAATTGAAAATGTACACAAAAGGAACCCTATCTCTTGTCACTTCTGTAAATGCAAAATCAACCTTGATGTGATCATTGGTGATCTGAACGTCTAGCAGGTACAAATTGACGACTTCGTCATTTAGCCATTTCCCATCCTCGACGACGACCATGATGTCTTCCTTTCCCACCTTTCAGCTCCCCTTGTAATCGACAATGCGGTATGCTTCATTGTCTTCGCTGCTGCCTGTAATCATGTCAAGATACTCCTTTTCTTCTACGGTGAGGCGTTTTGTTGCTAAAGGAATCTGGAACGAAGGGTCATGCACTGCATACAAACACACATATAAACAACAATGGAATGACTAAGACTTCATACCAAAACGAACTTTTCATTATGTGATGTACGACGAGACCCGAGTTCATGTTTTTGGTTGTCTATCTGTTTCGCTATCAGAGCTGCCATCCACAATAGATAAACTGCAACCTTCACGATGCAATTTCTTCCCTTCCCTGAGGCTTATTCCAACAACTTTAAACATCCTTAGGGCAGCTGGCTTCATAGATGGAAATGTCATGGGTGTAAGGCTTCTTCTCTCTTTTTTGGGCAATAACGACAAAGTCGATAAGGCTTGCAAGCCACGACGAATAATATTTTTCTCACTCGGCCTTTGCGAATATACGTACGTCGTTTTCCACAGTTCTTTTCGTTGCCCTGCATGTTCAGCAATATAAAAGGACAATGATTGACAAGACAAAACATTATGAGTTTAAGTTCAATTTTTCACATAATTGCAAATAAGAGATACACAATATTGTACTTCATTTCTTCTCATGACCGAGCGCACGGTTGCAAACTTAGGCAAAAAATTAGTTCCTATGAGATGAGTGCATGTACCCCCTAATCTGCATACAGTATTAGATATTCCCTTAGAGATAAGTACGTGCTCACCTCGGTGGCTCACTAACACTTTGACTTCAACACGATCTTCCATCGCACCATGCGATGGTGTAAAAGGAGATTCGTCGATAGATATCACGAGGTTGTGCTTCAGGCTGTACAAGCGTATGTTGCTCCCATGTACTTAGTACTATATATCCTTCATCCTCTTTGATGACCTGTATATTGGCAGTTTCGTTTGTACCTGCAGTCGCGCTTTTATTCTTCATGTTCAGAGAGACTTCATGTTCATCTTTCTCAGCTGGCATATCCAATGACATCCCTCATTCTGCAAGTGCACCAGTATTATCCACTTGCGCAGTAACACTCTCTCTCGCCAACACAGTGGTCGCCCAAACTTGGTCATTCGGAAGGACGTCCTCGACACATTTCGGCAGTTCTCCATGACTTACGCCCTTGACGCTTGCACCGCCGCTTCCTCCCAAATCCTGTACACTTGCATCGCCTCTCGATCCCCTGCCATATGCACTGCCGCTTGGTCCTAATCCCAGAGGCGAACACGATCCCCTGCAATGTGCACCGCTGCTTGGTCCTAATCCCAGAGGCGAACCCAATCCCTTGTCATGTGCACCGCCGCTTGATCCTGATACCTTTCCCTCTGTTGCTTGACGCCCTTGACACATTTCGTGTTTTTGCAGTTCACCATTACTTATTGGCTTTCCACTTGCACCGACGCTTGGTCCCAGACCCTTGCCACTGACACCGCCCCGTGGTTCCGATCCCTTGCCATGTTCACCACCACTTGATCTTGTTCCCTTGCCAAGCGCACCGCCGCCTGATCCTGATCCCTTGCCACTCTCATCCCCGCTCGCTCCTTTCCTTTCCCCAACTTTGTCTTCAATTTCCTCTTTGATACGCCAATTATATCCAAAAGCTGGACTTGTTTCTCGATCATAGAACTCTTCCAGATACTCAAGCCATCGAGATGTTTTGAACTCCTCAAAGATTTCTTCTGTCCTTGCATCCAGTCTTGATTGAGAAACCTTCGGCTTAAGTCGCAGTAGTCGCTTGCCAATCTCATTTTTGGCGTGTGCGACAAACTTGGATCGTGACATGCGTCTGTGGAGGCAAAATTGCCAATCCCCTTCTTCTTTTATAGCCATTACCCAGTTCCCTCTCGCCAATGCAGGTTGGAAGTGGTGGGGGTGCCATATAATGTGATGACCCCATACGTTGTCAGGCATCACCGTATAATCGTCCCGACACACAATAGGTCCAGGAAGCCGTGCAATGTCCGGAGGGATGATGTCTTCAATCTCGTACTCCAAAGGCTCAAACGGAGGTGGTTGAAGAGTTTGAGAGCGCAGCAATTCCAAAACAGTAGGCGGGCTATGTGCAAGTGCTGAGAGACTTGCCATAGCCTCTGGGGAGAGAATTGCCTGCAGCCTCGGATCATCCTGAACTGCGTCGGAAGATAGCGTTGTTGTGTTGCCCGCCATGTAACTGGTCCGTTGTAACTGCCATACTCGAAGCCCCTCCAGAACCGGACGATGTGCCCGACGCACCCATCTTCTGCGAAGCCGAGGTACAAGCTTTTTGCCTCTCATCTGCCAAAGTCGCTTGCAAAGAGTACCATCTTCACTTTCTTCCTCTGAGTCCTCAGCATCGAAGCCTTCCCCAAAACAAGTTGCATAATCTGCGATTGTAAACGCCCCAATTTGTTCGTCGAAGTACATCATCTCCAAACGGTCTAGAAATGCAACTTCCGTCTCCGCCGGTGCCTTATGATACCCCCTCAGAAGTGATTCCATTTTTCGCCTTCTGACGACATATGCACGTTCCCCTCTGTTTTGTGGCTTAGTCTCGAAAAGGAACTCCCAAATGTTGACGATGTTTTTACCGACTTTGTAGACGAGATCACACTTTTCATCATGTCGAGGAGGCGACTTAACAAATTTGGCAAGGTAAAGTCCACTCTTGACCATCTTGGTGACGAATTGAACGAGGAACTCGAACTTCATACCCTCCCCTTCCAGAACAATGCAATGACGGTGACTCTTTAACAACTCCCAAATCAACGCTGCATGGCCTTTTCCTAAGGAAAACAACCGCCTCATCCGCAGGACAAAAATGCTCCAATGTCTCCACCATCGCATTTGGCTCCCTTTCCATACCTTCGTACACCAATTTCGTTTTTGGATTCATACCTGCCATTTTCAACTTCGTGGGCGTGAAGTTCTTCTCCACGACATCAGCCAACATCTTTGGCCTTCTCTCTCTGCGCACAAGTGTTGATAAGTCACCCGCCTGCTCGCCAGATGATCGATCTGCAGCTGGAGTGCTTGCTGGAATGTCTTCAAGCAAGGGAATAGTGTTGTGGTGATAATCCCCATCGTTGGAGTACATGATGACAGCCATTCTGTCTGTGTCCTCCAAAGGCAAGTTCGCAACCTTATATAAATGCTTCGCCTTTGTTTGTAACTGACGAGTCCACTTTAGAATAGACAAGTGAATGTCAGTATCCCAACTTGTAACTCGCTTGAAAAATGTATACTCGCAAGACCGCTGAACGAAGCACAATAATGTCCAATAATCACCAGCTAGTTTTCCCATAAACTTCCGCAGACCATCAAAGACTTCTTCAGTCCACACCCCTGGGTTGGGTGACATAAATCCAGCACGGCCGTGTGGCAACTCAGATGTTTGACGACTCTATATATTTCCTTGGAATCCATCTCGTCTTAAATATCACTTGGTTCCCGTTGGAATGGGACGAAAACAGAGTTCACGTTCTGTCTTTTGAAATGTATATATTGCGCCAAGCCCGACATTCTTATGCTTTCCGAACCCCTGGTTTCTGATCTACGTAGCAACTTGTTGACAAACTGCCTGAACTCTTCGGGGCACTTCGCACCAAGTGACGCTGTTTTCTTGAAGCCCTCTTCTCCTTTTTCCTCCTCTCCTCCAATAGTAGCCGGGAACGTTCGCACCCAACTCATCTCTTTGAAATGGCGACGCTGGTCGATCCACCTCTTGGACGTCAATCCTTCATCAGAGTACTTATCAAACAAATCGGAAAGGTTGTTGAAGAATGGTTCCGTCCACTTTGAAGACTTCCTGTGAGGGTAAGAAATGAAGACGAAGTAGTGAAACATCCTCAACATTGCTCTTTCAATCTTTACCATTTCCACATATGTTTCTGTTGAATGTTTCCCGGCACGTTCAGCAGCTCCACCTCGCTTAGGAGTCAGTATCACACTGCCTGTGAGAATGTCTCGCAAAGTTGCAGTCGCTCACGCCTCCCAAGCGCTAAAAAAGGCTTCCACGCTCTGATATTCGGATCGTGCACCGCCACGAGGTAACCAGGTCCTTTGGTACGCTGAACCCAGTGAACCGGACACCTAACTCCACCTTTCAACTCAAATCCGAATCCAGCCCTCGGTGCCTTCCCTGATTCACCTTGTTTGGTAGCAGGCTTCACAGCATCTCTCCCCGGCAATTGTCCAGCTTCCCAAGCGGCGTACACTTATTTTACCTTTTCGAAAACGTCATCTGTCGCCCTTGCCAACAACATGTAGGGCCCGAGGGCGTCAGACCACTGACCGCTCCACTGAGTAGTAAGGGACATGTCAATCAAATTACGAATCCCGGTCAAACGAAGAGCCTCTCCTGCAAACTTTCTATACTCTGCATTTTTCACTTCCGCCGCTGAGCCGCCTTTAGCTTCAGGACAGTTCGACTCGTGCCACAACTTTCGTATGTTCTGGACGACCACGTTCTGGTGCGGTGGGGTATTCCATTTGTCCTTGGAGTTCTGGAAAGTGCTCAGCGTGCCGTAATTGTCCATGCTCTTATCCGGATAATAAACAGACCTCGCAGTCCAGCGATCCAGTCGGAGCTCTTGTGCGATGTCAGGGCGTTCAACAAAACACCTTGCCGCCGCCATGTTATGCTGACCGCTGAGAGGGTAGTAGTAGTACTTGTTCACAGATTCGAGATCGAAATCATCCGGCAACACCCTCCTTGCTCTCATAATCCTCCCTGAACCGTCAGTATGCAATGTATCACGGAGGGCAACCAACAAAAGGACAGGCTTCTCATACAACGTACAAACATTCACACCGACAACTCCAGTCATTCTCTCTCTCATACCAGCCTCACCCGATGCAATCGTTGCGTCATAAATGTCATCAACCGTCTGCTGCATGAGATAGCGTTGATTGTATCTGAATTCCCCGTCGGGGATATCCAAAATTCTGTCGAACTGGACATAAATGAATTCCATGTCTGGACATTGGTTCCCAAGCTCGTCCAACTCAAGGAAAAAGCCTTTGCTAAGAACACCAGAAGAAGTCACTGATGGCACATTTCGCAAACTTGGTGGCCTAGTAACTGTCTTGTCTTTGGCGTCTTCATCCGATTGTGGTTGTTCCACTGGAAAAACATAAGTTTTTTCCATAACACCACCTTTTGCCTTTCTTTTCTTTGGCTGTTGCTTTTTCTTCGCGGCTGCCTCAGTCTCCCGCGTTCGCTGGACCGCCTCATCCACGGGCATTATTTTCAATCGTCTTTTTTCACCCGCTTCTTGCCTACTCCGTTAATTATCCATAAGACTTTTCCCCTCTCGCCTGTGCTTCCTCTTTCGCTCAGCGAGCCCTGCAGCATCTGTATGCCCAGCCACAACCACTGTCGCGTGCACATCCCTCTCATATCCTTCGTAGATGCTCCCATATCCTCCTGCCAGACCAACCTCCCCACCCGATGCGCTCACAGTGTGCTCATTGTCTTCATACTTGTCTCTCCTGGATGCGTTGTCATGCCGCCGACACCCGCAGCATACTGTTCCTGTCCTCCTGCTCGTTCCGAATATTCCTCGCTGTTCTCTTCGTCCTCATCTTCAAAATACTCATTGGCTTCCTCTACGCGGCTTGGCATAGTGTAGTCATAGTGCTGCTGGCCCACCAAGGGGAGATGTCCCTTGGTGGCCACATCATAGCGCAATCGGCTGCCCAAGCCAATTGGTGCTTTGGTCGCCGTTGGCCTGGTTTTCATAGGGGCTGACGGTACGACCAGTCCGCGACACGGACCCTTCTCTCTGATCTGCCCAGCTTTCGGACCAGGCAGTGTATCGCGGATCGTGATCGAAGGCCCTAACTCCACGGTTTTCGAAAGCACGCATTTAGGCTCTGATATGCGGTCCTCTGGATGCACAACTGGCTCTCTGCCCGCGATCACATTACTGTCGAAAAACCCGAGGACGTCAACGAGGTTAGGCAACTTCACTGTCAATGTCCCTGGTGGGTTGAACACATCAACCAGCGACTTTCCGAACCCCGCGTGGTTGGCCCATCGAAGAGCGACGTGTTTAATGTTTGGTATTCTTTCCCCTCTTCCATTCAGGACCATCGTCAACTCGAAAGTTGCAGACGGCACATTTTATCCAGTCCACCTCACCAGGCCGCCAACCGACACAATATTGTCTTTGATGACCACGTACAAAACAAGGTCACTCGATGGTTGTTCGGTTTCCCCCACCCAGTCGAGCATTCAGAATTTGTCCTTGTGGTCAATCACGGGCACATCGTCTCGCCGATCCGCGCAGTCGTTTCACCAGACGGTTTACGTTCGCCAGGCGGTTTACGTTCTCCAGACGGTTTGTGTCCGGGCATAACCTCCACTGCAGATCTCCCCTGCTGTGGACCAGGCACACGTTCCTGACCCGCAGGCCCGCCTGTCATCAACACAGCCTTATCCGGTCCAGAGCCCTGAACACGGGTCGACGGAGTGCCCGTGGAAGGTTCGAGGCATTCAATTGGCAAGGCAGGCAACCGGCACCCGCAACGAGCGACTAACAGTACGCTCCGCCGATCACTAAACACACACACGCACACATAAGAGAGAGAAAGAGAGAGAGAGGTTAAGCCGACATCGACAAGCTCACATCAAACTCAATGCTCGCACGCATACACATTCTCAGGTGTCACTTTTGCTGAACAGCTGAATAGCTGACATGTCCTACACTGTTCATCTCCCATGACCTCCCCCTTGACCTCGCCTATCCTTTCGCCCCGAAACCGTACACTGCGTTCAGGGATGAACCGTACGTCAGGAGCTGTGGACTGCACAGGGTTGCAGTGGAGGAGAAGCAAGACACGTATCGTGCACGGACGAAACCACATGATCTCGCTAAAGTGCGACCGATGGCGTCTCTAATGACCTTCACGTTTTCCTCGACCTCCTCCCAATGCCGGGGTGTATCAACCTGCCCCGCCAGTTTCACGCCAAACCTACCATTCCTCCAACCATGCGTTAACATAATCGAGTCCCTGTCAACGATGAGCTCGTTCCTGGACATGTAAATACTCGCTTCCACTGAAGTCTTACTTCTATTTCTTACCGAAACACAAAGAACCCTAGCTAAAGAGAAACGACTGAGATCAACATGTATGCAGAAGTACGACACACTCCCCGTCAAGTTGTCCTGGAAAGGAAGGGGATATTCCTCTAGAAACTGGTTCTGTTTCGCGCAGTCGAGCAACTCCATCTTCATCGATGGTCCCCACAAGCGCGGTGGACACGACACGTTGTGCGCAGTCAACGACAAAGACCGGTCTCGGGTACGAAATGCCGCAGACAATACCGGCGTGTGTTTCGTCATGAGGATGTGGTCAAGGAAGATGAATGTCCCCCATTCCTGGCTGGATGCTAGTCGATAATCAGATGCCCAAGGGCAGTCTTTCATTGTGTTCTCCCAGTTCAATTCGGACCATGCATCGAAGGGCTTTTCAAGCCAGGGTATAACGCTCATCCAAGGGTCCGTGTCGAAGTCTTCTCTACGGGCCCCAAGTATAGTTGTCTCCCGCCTTGAACCTCGCAGGTACCTTGCGCTAGCATTCAAAGGGAACGAGTAATCGAAGCGGTGAGCCATCGCAAACGTCCTACACACACAGACGATTGACGACCACAACAGGGAGGCATTGCTAAGGTCGAACGCGCTCACACACCGAGGAACCATCGCAGTTAC